AAGAGAACGTTGATCTGTGGAATCGTGCCATCCCGGTAATCATTCTAAACGTTATGATGGAATCAAAACGATATCCCCGGGTAAAGTGGTAGAAACTGGTGTGTGATTATACTCGCGTACCTTACTCTGGCTGACACCTATGTTCGCTGGAGTGAGGGGCAGCTGGGAAGTGCTGATGCTTACGGGGGGAAAATGTAAGTTCAAGAAAGGTTGGGATCAGCAGAGCACTTTGTCCCAGAATGAGCGGAGACTCTTGGACCTGGGTTCAACATGCAGCATCCCTTAGTAGTGACCTAGATTTAAACTTCTCAAGGGATGCCACCTATTCTTCTCTCCCTCCCTCTCTCGCTCACTCTGGGATTAGAGTATTCTTCAGGTCACTGTATAGGTGAATTGCAGCCTTAATGACCCAAGTGCAGTCGATAAGCTGTAAACTTAACAAACTAACAAACTTTTCCTCATTCAATGAACCAACTGGCTGAGGTTCACTGAGAGGAGCTTCAGTGCGATCCAGGCCCTGCTGACCCCATCACTTTCCTTCCCAGCTCCAGCTCGCTCTCAATGAGATTTACAAGACGCGTCTCAGCCCCGCTGTCCAGAAACTCCAAGCGCAACACAACATATATATATATATATATATATATAATATATATATATATATATATATATATATATATATATGTATATATATATATATATATATATATATATATATATATATATATATATATATATATATATATATATATATATATATATATATATATATATATATATATATATATATATATATATATATATATATATATATATGCAAAACAACCACTGTGAAAGAGTAGTGAAATTCCAGGTGCTTTCGTGACTACTCACATTGTCAAGGAACTTGACAATATGAGTAGTCACGAAAGCGCTTGGAATTTCACTACTCTTTCACAGTGGTTGTTTTGCATATTTTAAAATCACCTGTTTACTGTGATCTTATTGCATATATATATATATATATATATATATATATATATATATATATATATATATTTTTTTTTTTTTTTTTTTTTTTCAACAAGTCGGTCGTCTCCCACCGAGGCAGGGTGACCCAAAAAAAGAAAGAAAATCCCCAAAAAGAAAATACTTTCATCATCATTCAACACTTTCACCACACTCACACATTATCACTGCTTTTGCAGAGGTGCTCAGAATATAACAGTTTAGAAGCATATACGTATAGAGATACACAACATATCCCTCCAAACTGCCAATATCCCAAACCCCTCCTTTAAAGTGCAGGCATTGTACTTCCCATTTCCAGGACTCAAGTCCGACTATATGAAAATAACCGGTTTCCCTGAATCCCTTCACTAAATATTACCCTGCTCACACTCCAACAGATCGTCAGGTCCCAATATCATTCGTCTCCATTCACTCCTATCTAACACGCTCATGCACGCTTGCTGGAAGTCCAAGCCCCTCACCCCACAAAACCTCCTTTACCCCCTCTTTCCAACCCTTTCGAGGACGACCCCTACCCCTCTTTCCTTCCCCTATAGATTTATATGCTTTCCATGTCATTCTACTTTGATCCATTCTCTCTAAATGACCAAACCACCTCAACAACCCCTCTTCTGCCCTCTGACTAATGCTTTTATTAACTCCACACCTTCTCCTAATTTCCACACTCCGAATTTTCTGCATAATATTTACACCACACATTGCCCTTAGACAGGACATCTCCACTGCCTCCAACCGTCTCCTCGCTGCTGCATTTACCACCCAAGCTTCACATCCATATAAGAGTGTTGGTACTACTATACTTTCATACATTCCCTTCTTTGCCTCCATAGATAACGTTTTTTGACTCCACATATACCTCAACGCACCACTCACCTTTTTTTCCCTCATCAATTCTATGATTAACCTCATCCTTCATAAATCCATCCGCCGACACGTCAACTCCCAAGTATCTGAAAACATTCACTTCTTCCATACTCCTCCTCCCCAATTTGATATCCAATTTTTTTTTATCTAAATCATTTGATACCCTCATCACCTTACTCTTTTCTATGTTCACTTTCAACTTTCTACCTTTACACACATTCTCAAACTATATATATATATATAATATATATATATATAATATATATATATATATATATATATATATATATATATATATATATATATATATATATATATATATATATATATATATATATATATATATATTTATATATATATGCAAAACAACCACTGTGAAAGAATAGAGAAATTCCAAGCGCTTTCGTGACTACTCACATCATCAAGGAACTATGAAAGTAAAGCATCCAAGGAAGGTATATAATGGGTCTGGATGCTTTACTTTCATAGTTCCTTGATAATGTGAGTAGTCACGAAAGCGCTTGGAATTTCTCTATTCTTTCACAGTGGTTGTTTTGCATATTCTGAAATCACCTGTTTACTGTGATCTTATTGCATACATGTTTATATATGTATATATACAGTGGTAGTGATGATGATAAGAATGATGAAAATAGGAATGATGATGGTAGAAGTGACGAATTAGTCACTCACACATTCTCCTTCTTCTTCCTCATGGCACTTATTTCCCATTACTAAAAATTTTAATTATATTCAACTTATCACCCATTTCCCCATTTCTATTGTCAATTACCTAGTTTCTCCCTCCTCTCCCCCCTCAATCCTGTGTTCGCTTCCCCTTCCATTCACCTAATCCATTTTTTATGTCTTTTGACCTATTTTCGTTCGTTTTCCACATATTTTCTCATGTTTTTGTTTGCTTAATCCCAGTTTTCGATGCCGGAGTTGCCAGTAGCGGCAACCTTACCGGGAGCACCGGAAGGGTGGAACCAATTGGATCAAAGTGGTCGGGGAATAGTTTCAGCGTGGATAGTTCACTGTGCTGCTTCCGCCTGTGTGTGGAGGGAATATGAGAGAGAGAGAGAGAGAGAGAGAGAGAGAGAGAGAGAGAGAGAGAGAGAGAGAGAGAGAGAGAGAGAGAGAGAGAGAAAGAGAACCAGACTGAGAAAAACTCTAGTTTTTTATAAAGAGTTGAATTTACAGGCACAGGCTAATATCTGTTGTTCTCCCTCAGATCTTTTGTCCTTGTCTCATTTAGAGGCCATGAACTCTTACCTTTCCTCAGTTCATTTGCAGTTAAGAGCTGTTATCTTATCTCAGCTTATTTGAAGGTCAACAGCTGTTATCCTACCTCGGCTCATTTGAAAGCCAGACCTATCCAAGGTATACTAGCACTCTCTTGGCTGTCACCCGGAACAGTCGCCTAACTCCCAAGTGCCTACTAACTGTCTAACTATCTTGTTAAACTTGAGGGCGCAGCGGGTATGAGGGAACGTGCCTAACTTTTCCACTCGTGCCAGGATCGAACCCTGGGCCCCTGTGAGCTAAGCGCGCCACCACTAACGCCACGGGTCAAAGTCGATTTCTGGTGTCTTGACGAAATTGCATCAAAAGTAGCAGGTGTTCTGAAGTTGGTAGCGGGTATTCAGAGGTTTGCAGCAGGTGTTTTGAAGTTGGTGGCGGGAATTCAGAGGCTGGTAGCAGGTGTACAGATGTTGATAGCAAGTGTACAGATGCTCTTAACAAGTGTACAGATGCTGATAGCAAGCGTACAGAGGTTGGTGGGTGTTCAGAGACTGGTAGCAAGTGTACAGATGTTGATGGAAAGTGTACAGATGCTGTTAACAAGTGTAAAGATGCTCTTAGCAAATGTACAGATGCTATTAGCAAGTGCACGGATGCTGTTAGCAAGTTTACAGATGGTGTTAGCAAGTGTACAGGGGCTAAGCAGAAGAAAGAAAGCCTGAAAATTCTTTGTAATCCATAAACTTGCTGTTCTCAGGTTCGTACACTTGTACACGCTAGGCTGTTCTGAGCTCTTACCGAAATTGTTTCAACGATTGTAAATTAAAGTGAATTTACTAACTCTGACATCCCTTCCCTCTGTTTCTCTCTTTCTGTCTGTTTTTCTCTATCACTTGTTTCTGTCTGTCTCCGTCTCCTCAGAAAATGGGATGAGGAGACGAAACTCAAAGTTTTATTGGCTACCCACTAACATGCAGTACACGTTGGCTACCCACTAACATGCGGAACACGAGGGCTACCCACTAACATGCGGAACACGAGGGCTACCCACTAACATGCGGAACACGAGGGCTACCCACTAACATGCAGTACACGAGGGCTAACCACTAACATGCAGAACACGAGGGCTACCCACTAATATGCAGAACACGAGGGCTACCCACTAACATGCAGAACACGAGGGCTACCCACTAGCATGCAGAACACGAGGGCTACCCACTAACATACAGTACACGAGGGCTACCCCCTGGTCTATAAGGGGTCAATCGAGAAGCTTTTGCGTCCTTTATACCTTTCTTGTCAACAAAATACATATAAGCCATACTCAACATTGATCAATGGTATCCCTCGACATAACCACCAAGCCTACTGAGACATGTTCACGTATACACCATACAATTCCGTCGGCTGATTACGTAGCCACTGACGACCTGTATAGTCATCACGTTATCATCGTCTGTATGGGAACGCTGTTCTCTTGTAAATTTTCCCCTTGAATACAGTGTAAAAAAATTGTCAATAAACCTATTTTAGAAATCTCACCTGACTTACTGTAATTTTTTTATGCTAATTTTCCCGGTGGTTGCGAGAGTAGCAGACGGAGGATCGAAGCTTCACGAGCCCTTGACTAAATATTTAGCACCTGCCTTTAGTGCTTCAAGTAACAGATAATAATAATTATGGTTAAAAATCATTAATGTTGATCAGTAAACGTTAATTCACTTACACGATAAGAACAAATAAGAACAAGAACTGTGTATATAAGATTTTCTGTGTTTCATTTCTATGCTTCATTCAGCTTTTTGTTTTAGTAAATAATTATGAAAAACCTTTTTCACGAATCTTTTTTGTTAATTCCTTTTCTTTTTCCCGATGCCCAACAGACGCGACGATATGGCAGGCCTCGCCCCTATTAAGAGATGGTAAGGGCATGTGGCCTGGGCACACACATAGCTGTGTTTGCTGTCAGTGTAAGGGCATGTGGCCTGGGCACACACATAGCTGTGTTTGGTGTCAGTGCTTCAGTAAACCTGTTTTACACTTGTCTAGTTATAGCTTTGTAAATATTTAGAATGACTATAAGGGATCTCTTCATTCTCTCTAAGTCAACATCAGTATGAGGCGTCACTGGAGCCATGTAAACAGACACAAAACTTGGGTCCAAGTGACATAAGGAAGACAACAGTGAAGAAAAAGATACACGTCATAAGATTTGCTTTTGCTGGGCAGATAATAGCTTGTTCAGCTTATCGAGCTACGTTATTTATATCATTATCTGTTTCCCCTTGACTTTTATAACAGTATTTCCAACGTTCAGCAT